GACGTCTTTTATTTTAGTTCAACTTGTTAATGTAGAGCTTCTACACATATCGATGGACGTATACTCCACATGGCAGACACGATTTTTCTGGCCCAGATGGTACCACTTTATGATAATCTTTGGTTTTTGAAGTGCAAGCAAGAAAGAGAATATGGGAAACATGTAAACTTACAACTGAAGCATGACCAAGCCTCGAGGCTTGTTGGATATATATGGAATCATTTTTCGGTGTATTCATTCATTCTTCAGATTTGTTTTGCTCTTTTCTTATTTTAGTAGGTGTTTATTTGCTTCGAATCAACGCTTCGGCCGATGTCCAAATCAACAAAGATTCAGCTTCAGGCGGCGTTGATGATGAGTTCAGAACTAACATTGCAACTTGTTCAGAATATTGCTCTAGATTTCATTTAGCAAGTGGCAAATCTGCAAAGGAAAGGAAAGAAAAGGTCCAAACTTTGTAGAGGAATCTCAATATTTTCGAATCAACTTTAGACGACAAGACGGAATCGGTAAACGAACGTTCAAGACGTAAATCATCGAGCGGCAAGTGGAGCTGAGTAGCATTCAAGAGGCCTGTTTCAATAGGGTCAAGCGATCGGAGCACACGTGCTATTCCACACTAAACAAATCACATTTGACATTTCAATAAAAAAAAAATAGAATCAAATAAAACACATTGATGTCGGCACGTAGTTCTTTTTTTATATCTTGTTTTTAATTTTGCGGTTGGTATTCCATAAAATTAACAGTGGTTTTAGAAAAAAAAGGAATTTTATGCAATTTATTTTGCTTTGCTGTTCAAGATGATACCATCGTACTTCTGTTGGAACCACTTCATGGCATCTTCCTTTGTAAGTCGGTGTTGGAATCCAACAATGCCGGTCTTCTTGCGTTTGTGGGCAACGTTGAAGCCTGAAACGGTAAACACACAGAGAGAGAAATGTGATTATTTTTCAATTCGATGGACATTCGTCATCATAGATCAGGAGATGTGATTGTCTTTCTTCCACCTTAATATCTGACAAGTGCGTATTCTTTTCGATGAAAAGAAAATAAATTCAGATACTAAATTCAGCAGAAAAGTAGTGAATTTAATTTTCGCATCTTGACTGAGAAAATTTCGGTGGGAAAAATCCGTAAATCTTCCTAATTATGTGCGAATGATTATTATCGTATCAATTCGTTGAGAATTACCAACACTTGGAGCCATGGCTCCAACGAACATTCAAGATGGAAATTGAGACGCAATCGTTGTTTGCAAACAACGATTAATCCATGTGAATTAGCAACGATGAATTGATTTCGGTTGAGGTGAAAAAAAATAATGATTGAATGCATACCTGGGCGGCCCAAGACGACGTAGAAGTCCAAACCATAGATACCGATTGATGGATCGTATTTGATTCCCAAATCGATGTGTTCTTGGATACCGAAACCGAAGTTGCCGCTGGCTGAGAAGTTGTCGCGTCTCAATTCGTATTCACGGACCTGTGCGACAAAGAATAAAAAAAACCACGATTAAAAGTCGATTCATAAACACACATGGCTGTCAAAATTGACAGTTGACATAATCAAACACACAGTGTTGGGAGCAAAAATTTGTATCTTTCGTATGTAAATCGCTTAGTAAGAAAATTTGAGTAAACGATTGTTGCAAATTGAAGGAAAATTTTATTCTTGCATTTATGCCTTATTCGAAAATCGAAATGGAACGATTCACGATTTAGTTGACAATTGAATGCAAAATACACATGTGTTGATTTGCCAAACACACTAAAACTGAACTCTTTCTCTCACACACACGAAGCAGAAAAAAAACCGAATTTATTTACCTTAAGACCACGTTCCAAGATTTCTTCGGCTTTAGCACCGCGAACCGTGCAGTGAACGGCAATTTTTTCATTACGACGAATACCGAATGAACGAACAGTGTAACGTGCTTTTGAGAAAACTGGCTGTTGTCCAGTCAATTGTTCCAACACCTAGAAAATAGCAAGCAATACGATTTTTTTGAGGTTAGAATTTCGTCCATTCAACAGATATTCCAAAGAAGAGAAGTGAAATGAATTGGTGATTTAAAGAAAAAAAAATGCGGAAATCGTGGAATTTACTTTGGCGGCTCGTGTAAGTCTGTCACCAGATTCACCAACGCAAATGTTCAAGCACAACTTGCGGATATGCAAATCACGCATAACATTTTTGGATGGATCTTTCTTGATCTTTTTGGCTGAATCAGCCTGAGTCGGTTTAACTGCGGCAGGCTGCAAATAAAAAGCACACACATTTGATTGAGTTGAAATTGGAAATTTGTCTTCATTTTTCTAAAAATCAATTGCACTATTCGTAAACAATTTGGCGAAAATTTGTCATGGACATCGAATCATCACATTAAATTCAAAATGTTCACACTCTTCTCTTTTTTTTTGGTACACACAACAAATGTTCGAACGAATCGTTTTGTTTTTTTCACTTTTTTCCCAACAATTTTCCGACGGCAACGAAAAATATTTATCTAAATCGCTAAAAAATTGCGGGGCCAAAAGAATTATGAAAGAATTTCGGCGAAATATCCGAGATTTTGGCCGATGATTTGAGATATTTTTTAAAGTAACGAAAAAACAAGTTCACCCACCGACATAGTTGTTTGAAGAAGGAATTTTTAGTCGTCAAACGTCAGTGACAGTACAGACGGGAAAGATCGCACGCGTGTTCTGCTCACATACACATGCATACAGAGCCATCGACGACATTTCGGTTGCGGTTCAGTGGCGACATGACAACACATCGGACAATACCAACCGCATCGTACTATGTGGTAAACCGACCGCAGCTACATTCACATTGTTTGCATCGCTGTCTTAAACGTCAAACTTTTGTATTCAAAACAGTGGATTTATTGCAACTGTCCGATGAAACCATTTACAACTGTCGGAATTAGAGAGAAACAACTTTGAAAAGAGATTTTTTTTAGGCGAAATAAATATTGTTTTCCACAAAAAACTTGAAAACAAGTGAAATTTATCAAAAAATATACTTTGAACGCGATAATGGAAGCAATTCAGTGCACTGAAAATAACACCGAAGCAGTCACCATACAGACAGAGCCAAATCGCCTATTGAAACGAAATATCGGAGAACTTGCCATCGATGGCAAACTCAATGGTGAGTTCTTTTTTTGCTATTGAAATCATTTTTACCCAAACATTCTCAAACAAAATCATCCATTGAGTCATTTTTTGAAACTGAAACATTCTTCTTATTTTTAATTTCCATTGATTGCAATCAGAAACTGACAAATGTCACTGCATTTTTGTTGTATTTTTGGAACATTTTTAGTTGGAACACATTCAACATTTTCATTTGTCCATAAAAATGAAGTATTTGAATTTTTTCCATTAAAAATTGGTTAGAATTAACTTAAAATAATTAAATTAATAAAAAAAACCATATTAAATGGTCATTTCCTTCAAAATTTACTACTTCAATCAATTTTCCCATATAAATTGAAAATTGCAAATAATTTTGCTACACAAATTGATAAAATGAGAATATTTGTCTAATGTCCAATAGAAATTGATGAATTGACTAACACTAATTTTCTATTTAAAAAAAATTGTAGAAGACTTCAAATCGCCCGTTCGGAAGGAAGTGAAAGTAAGCCATGAGACGCATTTGCGCCGTGAGTTGGATCAATGGAAGGAGTTGATGAAGGAACGAGGCATCCGACGTTCGGTCGAACCAAAGTAAGTATCAATCGATCGTGTTCGAAATAGAAAAAAACGTCAATTCTGCAGAACTTCTGAAGCAGAAGATAGATCGAGCGAAGGTTCTGGACTTGAATGTATTTTTATTCGAAAAAATTTCTATTTTGGATTCATTTTCACTCAGTAAATTTTGTCGAAAAAAAAATAATGCAATTTTGGTAAATTTATCCAATTTTCTCGAACAAAAATTCCAATTCATTTTTTGTTTCAATTTTTTTCAACTTTTGTCGAATAAAAAATATAAAATATTCGCCTATTAATATCGGTTCAATTTTTTCCAGGGAATTAAACGATACTGATCCGACCGATTTCGACAGCATATTAAAGCCCGACCAGAAGAATTTCATTTCCGAGGTGATTGATGTGCGACAGATGATTCAACAATCGCATGATTTCCGGCATAAATTCGATTTTTTCCTGCGTGTAAACAAGCTCATGCTCAACGTGGTCGCTGACAAATCGACCGAAGCGCTCGATGAAGGCAAACAACAAGCGCTACAATTCCAAAGTCAGTTCATGCTCTGTGAACAATTTAATCCCGTCGAAAATTGAGCAATTTTTTGCGCAACAAATCATCATCAGTCACAATGAATGATTTTGCAGCAAAAGATCAATTGCAAAAATGATATTTTAAGTAATTTAAGCCATAAAACGAAATAAAATGCCAGATTTGTTTTCTATTGTTCAATTGGGGTCTATGTTAATTTCAGGGTAATTTTATTTTATCTTTGCTTTATTATTAAGCTAGTTCGATTCGGCGACAGGCTGAACAAAACAACGGAACCGGCCCGTTGATAGTCCTAATCTTGACTTGGAATTGGCGCAATGATTGGACATTTGATGGTCATCTCACGTAATGCCGCACATCCTTTACCTGCTGTTGAAGTGATAGCAATTTATTATCAATAATTAATCAGATGCGTGAAGGTTTTTATTTTTAGTGCAAGATGTTAGATTTTGTAAACGGTTACAGAAATTCGGATTTTTTCTATAAATATCCAGAGGCACTGAATTACGTGCAAATATTGCTATTTTCGAAACAAGAAAAAGTTCAGTATTCAGTAGTGAACTGAATTAGTTCAATAATCGTAATGATCTCGATAAGAAAAATCAAGAACGAGAAACACAGATGAAGATCGACAGAAACAATTTGAAAGAGCTTACCATTGTTCCAGGCTGATTCTGGGCAATTTTTGAATAATTGTGTATTGAGGCAAGCCACAATGAAAGCACCCATATGTCCGCATGCTTTGTGGTCAACAAATTTAGCCTTGGAAGCTTTAAATCAAATAGTCACAATCAATTTCTTTGAAAATTTGCTGGGTGTTGTGTGTTTTGTATTACCATGTTCGTTGCATGCTTGTAGAGCTTCTTCAACAATAGGCATCCAAACGGATTTTGGGCCAAGTGTCTTTTTCGCCAATTCGGATGCAACCATTGGCTGGAACATTCGATCCTTCAAAATACCAGTTTCATTCAAAATGCACTCGGTAACGCACTGCAAACAAAAATCTTTCGTTAAATTCCATTTTTATCTGATTTTTTTGTGAATTGTTTCAAGGAGCTTGATAATGTTTCTGAATTATTTGAAGTTAGTTTGAGTTTTTTTGCATGAACAAATTGGGGACTTTTCTGAAGAGTTTTATAAATTTGTGAAAAAAAAAACTCAAAAATTCTTGAAGAGATCAGAACAATTTTAAGGGAAATTCCATTTTTTTAAAGAAATTTTGATTTTTTTTTGTTTGTAGAAAATTCATTCGAAAAAAAAAAATTCGTTTCAATTTCAGAAAATTTATACCTATGGTCCAAAATTCCAAAAATACTCTGTAAAAAAAACCAGAAAAAATTGGTCTCACCCGAATATGCGGTGCGAAAGGTGGTTCATTTTGATTATTGCTTGGATTTGATTCAGGACCATACACTTTGGTTGCACAAATTTCGATGAGTTTTGAATCCAATATTTCGGGAATTTTGCAGCATAGCATTGGATCGACATCGTTTGGTGGTGGTACTAAGCACTTTGCGTCTACATTTGGTTTTGGTGGATCGCACTTAACGAACGACATCGACAAAGCGATCGCCACAAATGTAATCACTTGGATGGAATTCATTTTGATATTTTAGCACACAAATAAATGAAACTGTTGGTTGTACAAATATGAAATTTCCTAGGAAACCGAGAAATTCGGTTGCAAAACTATGATTTTGAAAACAATAAAAAAAGAAAACTCAATCAATAAGCTAGAACTTGTTGGTCTGTATAAATTACGAACTAAAACACTTTTGGTGACGATCAAATGCTCCGAACGAGATAGATCTTATGGTTGAAATGAATGAATATGTTCTGGGTGGGTATTACTTTTATACTGAAATCAGCACAATTTTCGACGGAAAAAAGTCGCTGGTTTTTCGTTTTGTGTGAATAATTGCGGGGAAGTGATAAATGCGAGAGCATCAAAACAAAATTATAATAATGGACATGAATGATTCGATCTGGCGCGCGTGCAAAAAAAACCACCAACGATTCTTAAATGAAAGGTCACCAAAAAAATAATATACTCACCTAGCCTGATACTTACGCAATGCAAACAATAGCGACAACCGAAAAAACAACACGCTCAATTTGCAATTTGAATACATATAAAATGGCCACAATATTCCGTTCTGGACAAATCTTTATTATTTTTACTTCGCAAAAAATGCTCATCCAATTTAAATAGGTTGCTGGAGCGCGGAGAAGGTTTTTTCCCGATGCCGGTAAAAGTTTAATTATTATTTACGCTTTCGTTTCTACGACACACAGGGAGAGAGAGATGAAGTGAGCGACTCGCTCACTGAGCGAGAGATAGAGAATAGAGTGAGGTAGTGAGTGAGTGAGAGGGAGATGGAGAGAGAGAGAAAGAGAAATTGATTGTGTGATGTTTTTGGCTCAGCTCATTTGCCGGTAATTGCTGAAAGTGACGAATCGCATCGAAAATCATTTTCTTGTTCATGCAAAGAGGTGTAAAACGATTTAGTGTGCATATAACCATAGTTTTTCCTGCTTTGCCTCATCAAATTCTCGAACATTCATCGTATAAAATATCGATCATGTCATCGAATTACGTCAAGCAGGTGATAACAAACTGCGGCAATGTTGCAATGCATGACTAATTCGGAAAATGAATGTTGCGGTGCGAACACCACAAGTACCACAACCACTGTGCGGGTGCTTTCAGTGTTGCGTGCGAAAATGTGCACGTGCTTGAAAAGCGATGGAAATGCGCGGTTGTTGAATCTGTGCACAGATGAATCATGAGTTCTCTGTCTCTGGAGAGAGGAAACAAAATTGACCTTGATTTATTCCACAATTGAATTCAACACATTAGCAATAGGCACACATCGCACATAATATTTTTGATGCGTGCAATTACTGTGAGCTCCGCCGCTAATTATCATCATCAATTGCTTCGTCTAAATCATGAGAATGAGGTCAAAAGCAAATATTAGTCCAAACATGTTACAAAAAACGTCCAAACACACCACTTTTTTTTATTATCAAATAATCAATTTTATTTCGCCACTTATCAATCAACAATGTAAGTAAATTTACAAAAATATGATATATTTAAAAAAAAAATAGCTTGAAATTCGACGGGAAATTTGCAAACGCCGAGTCCGATGACTCACGCCGTTTACAATATGCCGAACTGATGAAAAATGCATGATAAACATAATAATTAATTGTTGTTTTTCAGCGGAGAAAAACAATGGATTGATAAATGATTCACGAATTAATTCGCTGGGATGAAATTGCCATTATCATCGACGTCAACGTTGTCAATACTGAACGTGTTACGAATTCCACGGATCGGCGTACAGGTATCGATGAATGTGCGCAGCGTATCACAATCTTCACCTGTAAATTGATAGGAGACTTTTTTTTAGAAATTTTTTTTCGGTTTTTTGTCTCAACATTGAATCAAGCGTCAAAAGAGCAATCACAGAGCCTGTGATTTATAATCGAAAAGAGATTTAATTTCAATTGAACTTACTCTCGGTATCGAGTTGTGGTGGGCAATTACGGTAGATTTCACGATTGAAACAAGCCGCAAAGAGTCCGGATCCATTGCGGCATCGTCTCAGTGGCAAATTGCGTCCAAGATTTCGGCTGCGTCGTCGTCGGATGATCAAGAAGTTTCTGAGCTGTTTCGTACATCGGTCAATTGTTCGGGTCACCATATCGATTGGAACTTCGGGATAGTAATCGGCGTACACTTGCAATGCAATATTACGATCGAATCGACCATTTGCTATGATGTTGGTTTGATTGAATATGCATTCAATTGAACAGGGCTGGGGTGAAAACAAACGAAGAAAAGAATAGAGATTAACGAAAAATAGTTGAATGGATCGAAAAATCGAATTTTCTATTCTTTTTTCCATATCTTTATTCGTTATTTATTTTTTTTTTTTGGTAGAGATCTTTATACACAGAAGTTCACAGACAATGAACATTCACTGTATTAATTGTGATCAATGCCTTTTATTACGGAGGGTCAACTCATTGGTTTTATCACACGAATTTTTGTTTGAAATTGTTTTCAAATTTCTTCATTCAATAAATGATGGCCGTCGTTAAGACATCAAACAGTTACACTGAACATAAAATCGCCAAAAAGATTTTCATTTCTTCTAATCTAATGTAATTTTGTTTGCAATGGAATATTTTGCCTTAAACAAGTTCATTGCTCGAAATCAATCGGATTGAAAAAAACTCAATCAAGAAGATACGCATAACTTACTAAAATGAGTGGAAAAAAACCCAAATTGTTGATTCGACAATATCCGAAATGTGTGCATTTCAAGATCAAACAAATAATTGAAAAAAAATAAATTATCATCAAAGTTACTCACGCCCAGTGGCTGATTAAGACGATAAACAGTTTGACGGTTGTATCTGCCTCCATGGTATCCGAATCGATGGTAATCGCTGTGATAGTCGTCGTGATAGCGTCGATGATTGTCATAGCCATGGTGATATTTATACGGCCAATGCCCGTGATACTTATCTTTTTTCCATTCCCAATATTTGTAATCATCCTTGCTGTAGGGTCCACTCGTTGGTGACACACTACTATCGTCACTGATGTCACTGTCATCATCGTCGTAGCCGCTGTCGCTGCCAATCGGAGGTAGAGGTGTTGTTACAGCCGGCACATTTGGAAAACATTCTGGGAAATTGGTACGATCAAATGGCTTACTAACACGGCAACATGACAACGGTTCCACATTCAACGGTGGCGCTATTTCACACTCAAATTCATCCAGTTGCGAATAAGTCGTCTGAAAATTAGATAAAAATTGGTTTAAGATTTTTTCTCGTGTATTTTCATAAAAATTTAAAAAGAGATTCCATCAAAGGTGTGAATCTAGATGATAAAATCTGAACATATATCTGGTCGGGTTAATTTCAATTTCAGTGTTATGAATGATTCTATTGTGAACAATATTCACGAATTTGAATTTGTATTGTGAAAAGATTTAAATCGAAGCAAAAATTCGGCTAAACCAACCAAAAAACAAACGATTCAACAAATCAAAATCAATATTTGTCACAGTTGATCAACGAATCATTTTTCTCTTTATTTTCCTATATTGAAACTGTGATTTTGTTTGAAATATTCTAATTTTGATTTCCAAATCTGACAATAATTGCAATTTAATCGATTCTTAACCAACAACCAATCAATTCACTTACTGTGGCCAGGCACAAGAGAAGAACTACTGGGAGTAACCACCACGTCATTTTTTCTTCTTTAAAAAACTTGCACAAATCGATTGGTTTTCTCCGTGAGTTACAGTTTTTATCGTCAAGTGTCGGTTTATTTGTCTATGAACAAGTCGTTTGGGTTGTATTTTTAGGCCGGTCGTTTTTCTATTCTCTTATAAATCAAGTCGATTTAATTCTTCAACAATTGCCACAACTTGGAACACCAATTGTTTGCACTGCTAAAACAATTCTAAGCATAATATCTAAGTCTGTTGAAATATTTATATGATTGATATCAGGTCGAAATCAACCGAAACAGCAACGAAAATCGGGTGCTGATGACGCCCCACTCTCGGGATGCATCCAAACTGACCGGTACGCATAAATTAATGCTGTAATGAAACGAAGCAAACGAAAAAAATAAAATTGAATGGGCGCAATAATTTGTTGTTTGTTCAATTCAGTAGGTTAATGTTTTACAAACATTGAACTCTCTGGCATAATAGTAGGACAGTTGGGAATCATTCATGAATTTTCCACGTATTTTCTTTAATCCAGTCCAAGACTAATGCAGTAGAAACGATTAAAATCCACAAATGGGAGAGAAAAAAAAAACAAACAAACATTCTGTGAGAAATGAACCCATAAAATCGGTTAGTAGATTGACTTGATTAAACGTTGATATATTCGCGGTGCGAATTAAATGCATAATGTTGATAAAAAGCAGCATGAAAAGACCCAATTATCATTTGAAACAATGCGTGCATTTTTCTACGAATCATTTTTCATTTAAGCGATGAGTCAAGTGGCTGTGTGTGTGTGTGTTTCGGGCGAAATAAACAAATTATGCCCTAGAATGCATGGGATTTCGTAATAATCGCATGTTATTCAATCATATTTTTTTTAAATGCATCTCTCTTGCTTGTAAAATTAAAGTGAATCCAATTATCACATTGATCGAGAGCATAACACATCGGAAACGGTTTTCGAAAAATTGCGTTTTGGTGTTGACGATGGCGAATAGTGTTGTTTCTCTTTTGAACCGCTTATTTGGTCTGCATTGAATTTGTGTTGTCATCTGAACTAATTTCTACGGTAACGACCTCTATTGACCTGGTTGACAATGATTCGCTATTCGGTTCGTGTGTGTGTGTATGTTTTTGTTGTTGGCTTCAACTTCAAATTCAACTGTCAAAATACCCGCCAGTTAAGACACAAATTGCATTTATTCCGCCAAAAATAACAAATATTTCTAGACACCACAATCATGCGTTGCATCGATTTGTGATTAAAAAAGAACGAACACTTTTCGACAGGTTTCTGTTTTCGACGGAAAATCGCACAATAAACC